CTATTGCTTTTTCTCATTCTTTCTTTGTCTTGGTCATTTTGATTTTTCTGATCACCAGTGTGCATGGGCACTCACCTTCTGCACTGTCTGGCTGCAGTGAGACCCACTTCCCATTTTAGGAGCTTTTATGTTTGTGTGGACAGCAGCAATGCTTGGGGGTGTTTCCTGGTTTTGTCAACTCCGAATGGAGCCCTTTGGTTTGGACTGCACTGTGAGTAGTGCTCACAGTCCTTCCTCCAGACTGGATCTGCTGTTCAAACTTCAAGCATTGTATCCAATCCAAGGTAAGGGATACAGTAGACAATTTGGGTGCACCAAACAGCAGAATGGCTGGAGGTGTTCATTCCCCCCACAGCAATGTGCTCACTCTGAAACAGCTGTGAATTTGTGTCATCTCTGTGTGCATACATGCACAGCCTCTGCACCTATGTGCACACATTCACTGCATTTATAGACAGAGATACAATTATAATTGTAAATTGTGTAACTGTAAATTTCCCTGTTAAATTAGAAACTGATTTAGTCAGGTTCTCTGTTTTAATGGAGTTGGATAAACACTCATCTGCCCTATGTGTGTTCTGTAGCCTCTAGGAGATTTCACAGAAACTCTTGTGTCACTGTGTTTGTCTTTATAGTATGTCTGTCATACTTACCTCTAAGGTGAAGGCATAAGATTTTAGTATTGTTAATGCCTCATTTCATCTAGTTGATCTTTGCAAGTTTTTTCATCAAATGATCTTTGCAAGTTATTTCATCTTCTTTGTGATTTACCTTCCATGTCAGCTAAAGATCTTATGTAAGCTAAGTATTATGGAATAATAGAAATATATTCTATTTGAACAGTCAGGATAAATGAATCCAGTAGAGAATCTGATGTTAAACAGGTGCAGCATCACACATGTAAAATCAGGGTAAGTTCTCTAAACACTTAGATCTTAACAGATGTGTTCTTTTTCTCCATATGTTATAACAAAATAAGGATTTGCTCTGAAAGTATTGATACAAACACTAACCAGTTTTGGCAAACACAAAACTGTTGCTTACACAGTATCAGCTGTGACTATTCATTAACTTTAAATAAATGTGTGCATTAAATAGCTGTAAAGTACATATATGTATAAACTAAATCAGTTTTTGTCAGAAAATATTTTTTTCTTTCTGGTTTACTGATGCCTAGACAAAGGAATGCTGCATCTTCAAAACAACATCTGTCAAACCAATTTTCATCAGATTAAGTATATCCTCAGAACAACCATCACAGCTTACAAAGCACTGGAAATGTAGGTTGTGCTTTGTGTAAAACACCAATGGAATTCAAAGCACTTAAAAGTGTTTTATAAATGTAGCAATGATAGCCTGTGCCTGTTATCCATTTTTGTTTCTATTTTCAGGAAGTTCTTGGGAAAGATAATGAGTGATGTTGCAGCACTGCATTCCCAGTAGATGTCTCAGAGTGCAATTACAGAGTTATGGTCCTGGCAGCTAATCTGGTTCCAACAGAAGCCCGTGGTTTGGGAGTCTGGCTGTAGAGGTTGAATTTATTATGACAAAGTTCGTCTGTGGAAAGATTTCTCTCATTAGGAATGAAATTAAAGCATGAATCAATGGCTGATTATCCAGGCCTTTCTCTGATCTGTTGAATTCTTCATTAGTATAGATGTGTGATTACATGTGCTCTGGCTGGTTCTGGTTCTATAGATCATCAAAGATAATGAATAATATTACTTTTTTAAAGTTTTTTTTCTGAAACAATGTAATCTGGTAAAAATATAAGGAAAGCCAGTGGCTTGACATAGGACATAAATAGTGACACACTCAATCATGGTAATTTCTGGCCAGCTTTTGGTCTTTTTCCCTGCTACAGGATAATTAATACATGGAAAGGAGCTTCCTATTAAGCTGGTGTGTCTTCTGTAGGAGTGAAGCATTTTTCCAGTGTAACAAGTTAAATAGAGAGGTAAAGCCTCATTACCGTGTGCACCTGCAGCTGATCATGGAAACCTGGGACAGCCAGAAACAAATGCCAGAGGTTCTGCAAGATCTTTGTGGATGGAGGGTAGAGGCACTTGAGCTGGAAGCTGGGTTGGCATTCCCATTAGTTCTTCCATTTAAAAGCTGGAAATCTAGTATGGAGCAGGGAGGGTCAAGTCAAAAATCCATGCAGATGACAAACAAGGTGGAAAGTCAAGGAGAAAACTGTTCCAGCTGTATCTGGGAGTAGATACCTTTTGCAACTCTGATTTCCTGTTAGGTTGCTCTGTGTGTGTCAGCACTATCCTAGAATGTGCCACATGAACCCTAAGTGAGGTGTTTTGGTGCCTACCACACACCTGTGAGAGAGCCCTAATCAGTGTCCTGTTTCCAAGGCAGGGAAACTAAAGACAGTCACAGAACGCATTGCATACAAACAAGGCTGAATCTGTTGTGTCCTGATAGTGTCCAAGATAAATGCTTTGTGTCTGAAAAATACAGTTTTTACTAGGAAAAGGGTACTGCTGACTTTCATCTTCTTTATAAAGGTATGCTGACTGCTTCTGAAGTACTACTTGAAGCATAAACCTCAGATTGGATTTTACCTTACCAGAAAATGACCATGATCTTTACAGGATCTTCTGCTTAATTCCTGAGACAAAAGAACATACATTAAAATAAGTACAAAAATCTGCCAAATATTCTCACTCTATCCAGCTCTATCATATCCTTGGGAGACTGAACACTTGCAAGTTTGGGCCCTGTGAATATTAATAGCATGACATTTCAACAGGAGACTGGGGTTTCTGAGAAGATTTTTGCAATTTGCAGTGGTAAAAGATGTATTTGAAATTACCATTATGCAAGAGATTCCTTCTGGTTGTCATTTTTGGCTAAACCCATGGAGCACTTGTTTTTAAAGCAAGAATTATGAACCACACAGCAAGAATAATGAACCTGTAAGCAGGTAATACAGTGTGGTAGTTGGTGGACAGCTTGTGGCACATTCAGCAAATACAGGCTCTGTTGGGCAAATGTTGATTTGAATTTCATGCATCATCCAAGCATAATGAACATTGAAAGGTCATGTTAAGAATATTTTTAAAAAATCCATCTGATTTGACTTTTTCACTTTCCAGTATTGTTAATAATACAATGTCAAGCAAAAAACAGTTTCTCTGAGTGTGACTAAAGCCAGATTCCATGTAGCTGAAGAATAAATTGCCATACTTTTTTTTTTTTCATTTACTGTTCATTTCCTTTATAATGTCATGGTATAAGTGTGTGAATTGTACCTTGAGCCACTGCAGTACATCTGTATTTTCTCAGTCAGAGTTATTTCTTTGAGTTTGTTACTCAGCATCCAGTAAGTCTCATGCAGACTGTAACATACTAATTGGCTCAGTATAATTAGAATGAAATGGAAGTGTTTTGCTATTGATCTTTGCTTGTTATTAGCTTGTACTGACAGAGAATTGGATAGAAAAAGTCTAATACAACTATTAAAATGTTATTTCTCATGGCAGGAAATATCACTGTTATTCTTCCATGGAAGTATTTTAGAGCAGAAGTCTCGTCCTTTCTCCTTTTTTTCTAACCTTGTCTTTATCTTTCTGACTTTTTAAAAATGTCTAGGAGGGATGCTGAGCCTTGTTAAATAACCAGGCTGTTCAGAGACTGAGTAGCAATACCAGTGACTTAAACAGGGCTCAGGCAATATTTATGAGTTCATTATTACAAGTCTAATACTGTGCTGCTTGTTATCTTAACTTCACACAACATCATGTTAATAAATCTTTTGACTTAAACAGGGCTCAGGCAGTATTTATGAGTTCATTATAACAAGTCTAATACTGTGCTGCTTATCTTAACTTCACACAACATCATGTTAATAAATCTTTACAAGCTGTAGTTGTAAAGTGCATCATAGTAATCACTATCATTCCTCTAATAAGTCATTTGATTTGTGTATGCTTTGTGTTATTCCAGCCTTGTGAGCTGTAACATCTCAGGGTAGAACCCTTCTTGTGGTCCAGGTTAATGGACCTGCTCTGAGTCCCACAGATGTTCTCAGGAGGAGGAACACCTTCAGCTCCCCACTCTGCTTCCCTCTGCAGTGCCTCAGGCTACGTGGTTTTCTTACAGGAGAGTTACCCCTGTTGTGGAGATTTTCTGGAGCTCCAGGTCCCAGCCCTTCTGCAGACTCCAGGCATGTGTGGTTTTACTTGCCCAGAGGCACTGAGGTTGCTGCGTGTCTGTAGTTCAGACACTGGCAGTGCCAGCAGGGCGAGCAGTTGGACATGGCTGTGCTGTGGCTCCAGGTAAAGGTGCTCAGCTCAGGAGAACAGTGACCCAGGGAAACCAGTGACTCATGCTGAGCAAGATACAGAGAGCTCTGGCTGTGGAGAGTCTGTTCCTGTTGTGTGGATGGAGGGTCTGCAAATGAGAAACCAGGAAAGGCTTTGCTTTATGTTTTTTAATGTTTGTTTGATTACAGACATGTTTCTTTTTCTTGTAATAGAGTAGACTACCTGCTTGAAAATCTGTGATTTAAAGTACAGTGTGTTGCTCTTTCTGAGGCTCAGCATCCTCATTCATTTGATTGACAGATGTAAACTTGAAATTTATTTTATTCTCTAACACAGCAGTGACTTTAGTCCAGCTGCAGTTTTCATTGTGCAATACAAATACACCAAGTCTAAAGTACTGCTGGCAATTTATATATAAAATTTGAGGATTAAGAAACCAATGCAAACAAAGACTGCTTTAAGAAGCAGTAATGTTGGACTAGCCTCTTACTGCTGTCACAATCAATGTGAAGTAACAGCAGCCATAACCTACAGGTCTGATTTTGGCTGCAGTAGGTACTGCTAAGGCAATAGTCATTTGAAGAGGAAATCTGTGTTGTCTATTTGAAACATTAATCAGTTTCCAAATATGCCACATTTTTTTTGTGTTGTATATGTGATTTCCTGTTCATTTTTACCTTCTAAATAACTGATACAAATAATCTCTCTTATTTTTTTCAGCCCACCTAAGCCAGCAGTGTTCATCTCCGGTGTCATTGCTAGGGTAAGATTATCAGTAAATTTCTTTCAGTCATAGTGAAATTACTGTAAGCTTTTCAGAATTACCTCCAATCAGAGCAAAATTAATCTTTTTCATACCCTTTCCTCTTTTGTGAGAGGAGGCTTTGTGTTTTCTATATTCGTGTAAGGCCCTTTGAGCATTCTTTCTGGGTTTGTGTGAAATTGAAATTATTCATTGAAATTATTTCCACTGTTTTTCTTTGAATTTTAGCACTTTAAGTTTATTGGATTATCTTTTTATATCTAAGCTAGATATTACTGTATTCATTTCCTTTGGAAGTGGCTGCATATTAAACTGCTGCTGTAGCTTGATCTGTGATGAGGGGCAACCCTCCTGCATGTAAGGTTACATGCTTGAAGATAGTGTGTTTCAGCTGCCATATGTGCCTTGAGGTGCTTGGGATTTAGGGTGTTATTCCCTGGACTTTAAGAGCAGGACCTGTAAATCCTTAGTATTAAGTGGCCATTAATCATGTGATCAGTAATTCGTGCATTGTGGCCGGGTTTTTGTCATGGCTCCATGTGGTGGTTACCTTACATCACTGGGGGTTGTAGTGTGGTTTACTGTAAGATGCTATGCTTGTGTCTGATCCCACAGGAAAGAGTGAGCTGAATGCCATTTTCCTTAGCCCATAAGGAATGAGCAATTGGCAACATCAGGGGAGAGAAGACAGAAAATGTTGAGTGTGAGGAGAACAGATCTTTGAACACTGGAAGCAAGTTGGAGTGGAGAAAAAAATAGGAAATGTAACAAGTTAACATCCCGATTAAAACAAAACCAAAACAAAACAGTGTAAGGTTGTTGCCCTGTGAGCCAGTGGATTGCCAGAGTTTCTGGCATATACGTTTGTCCCACTTTCTGAAGGGGGAAGTTGTGGTGCTATTGTCCCCCTGTTACTGAGCACTTAGTATTCTATGATAGTATTTGTTGCCTGTTGCTTTTTGTTGCCTCATGAGACTGACCCTAGAAATGGCAATGGTAAACAGGTGACATAAGGGTTACACCTGGACTGAGACTGCCCAGCAGCAGCACCTGAGAGCTAACAGAGCAGAGCATGTTAAACTTAAAAGCCAGCCATCCCTAAGATTTGAGTCATAAGTAGTTTTAGACCCTGCTTTCTTCCTAAAGAACTGGCATTGTTTAGCCTGGAAAAGGGAAGGCTTTGGGGTGACTTAACTGCATCCCTCAGGATAGAGTCCTGAGTAATCTGGTCTAGTGGAGGGTATCCCTGCCCATGGCATTGGTGTTGGAGCTGGATGATCTTTAGGGCTGCTTCCAAGCCAGGCCATTCTACAACTCTGATTCCTACAGCAGGCTTTTTGTGCAGCTATTTTTCATACTGCCTTAACTTAGTTTTAAAATAATCTGTTCTTTCTAGTGGCTTCTTGGAAACCAAACACATCTGAAAATAGGAATATTTTTATTTTTTTCCCTTGGGGTCACATTAAGATATCATATTATTGGATAGTGTGTGTAACTGGAAGAAGTGAAGCTTGCATAAGAAAAATTTTGAAGTTGGCTAATAAGAATAAAAACATAGAATGTGTAGAGGGGGACCCCAAAGTAACATTCAAGACTATTTTTCATCTGATTTTCACATTTTTTAGAATTTACATCTATTTGAACTAGAAAGTACACTTTTAAGATTCCTTAAACTTTTCCTGCTGTGTTCTTCAAACAGGGTGATAAGGACTTCCCTCCAGCTGCAGCTCAGGTGGCTCATCAGAAACCACATCCTTCTGTGGAGAAGCTTCCTCACCCCCAGCACGTCAAACAGCACATCCACCAGCCTCGCAAGTGAGCTCCCCGTCAGGATCTCTGCCAGCCTGCTCTCAGTGGATGTTTTCAAGAGAAGACAAAACCCCTTTAGTATTCACACTGTCAAATCTGTAAAATTGACACCTAAAATGATATGCTGTTTCTTTTACTTTAATTCTCAAGGGTTAATAAGAATGAAGACATTATTCAGTTGTTATCCTAGATGGAAAATTCTGTACTGAGTATTTGCTGATCAGGGGTGCTTTTTTATAAGATTTTCTTATTGCCAAGATAAAAAAACTTCAGTATGAATAATGATTAATGGGCCTAAAATTTCTACTTTTAGTTGTGGCCTTACATTAGCAGATAGTTTAATTAATGTAGTTTTTATGCTAAGCCAGTAAGGAAGAACAGCCCTTTTGTACTGGTACCTTTACTGTCTGGAGGGAGTTTGTTGGGTGTGTTGAGACAGAAGTCAGTGGTTGTCTGGATTATGTAGAACCCTTGCAGCCTTCAGTACCCTACAGTGTTACACCCCCGTGCCCTCTGGATTCAGCCAGGGAGGTGATGATAGGCCCCCATACATTCTCAAGTGGGCAGAGATCCAGCTGAGTCTTCTTTACACCCCTTTGCACTTGCACAGTCTTGCTGAGATTTTTCCCTCTGGTGGTCTGTGGAAATGGAGAGGAGAGAGAAATCAGAATTACAAGAACACTGCTGCTCTAGACAGCTCATTTGTAATCTCATGGATCTCGGGGCTGTATTTTTGAGGTAATGATTTCACATTCCAATAACAAGCTGAAGGAGTACATGACCCTCCGTATTGAACTTAAAATAAGTTGGTCAAAAATCCTCTTTCTTTAGTTTAGAATTGGAGATCACCTTTTGAAATTAAGAGGTACCATTAGTAAAGATGTTTATGATTCAATCTCTTTTGCACATCTTTTTTTTTTCCTAATCTTCTTACTCTGAAATACAGTGGTGTTATGAGGGAGTGTAATCTCATGGATCTCACTCGGGGCTGTATTTTTGAGGTAATGATTTCACATTCCAATAACAAGCTGAAGGAGTACATGACCCTCCGTATTGAACTTAAAATAACTGGTCAAAAATCCTCTTTTTTTTAATTTAGAATTGGAGATCACCTTTTGAAATTAAGAGGTACCATTAGTAAAGATGTTTATGATTCAATCTCTTTTGCACATCTTTTTTTTTTCCTAATCTTCTTACTCTGAAATACAGTGGTGTTATGAGGGAGTAAAAAGAAAGTTTTTCCAAAGAGAGCAATCATTTTATTTTTACCAGATAATTAAAACATTTGATTTCTCAGTTCAAAATCACTTAGCTCTATCATCATTTTCCTTCTGTAACTCACGTGAGCTCTGTAAAAACCAGGAAAAAAGTTTTATACATTCTACCTATTTTTAAGTGTCCTTCTGTTTTTAACTGACTATAAATGCACTACAGTCTTTGGTGGCCTCCAGGTTTATAAAGTTTCTAATGATGTCAAAAAAGCGGGAGCTAATGTTTCAGCCATTCACCTGGCAAATTAGTGAAATTTTAAGGTCACTTGGGGCTTTACCAGTTCATTTATGGTTATAAAACAGTGAGGAAAGTTTAGAATTTTTTTTTTTAATTCTGCAGATTTAATAATTATTTCCTGAGTAGCTGGTTTAAAACAACAGCAACAAAATAATGGGAAATACGGCCCTTTTCACAAGTGGAACAACTCACTTCATGTGGGTGGTAGGGACCTGACATTTCCATCTCTGTAGGCTTGAAATGGAAATGATGTTTTACAAATTATATGCATGGACATATTTATTCTAAACCCAAGGAAGGATGTACAATCTACATATGCAGTCCTTATTTTCAATTTGATTAGAAACCATACTTGCCTTAAGGAACGAGTGTTGTTTGTGAGAATAATTCTGTGTTAGAATATGCGTAACTTTTCAGATCTGCTTTCTGTTTCTGACGTCGGTGCAGCAGAGGCCTTGTTTGTAGCTGCTTATGAGTGTACAAGTGATTCACAGCTGAGCAGCTCACTCATAAAGGAAGCTTTGTGAGCCTCCTGGAATAATCTCTGGTGGAGATGATTTGCTGGCAGACGCAGGACAGGAGTTGGTTGGTGGTGCAGCTGGAGCTGTCCGTGTGCGGTGTCATCAATGGAGCAGATCATCACAGTCACTCCTGGTACCTGCTGGCCTGAGGGGGAGCTGGGTGGGATTCAGCTCTGCCTCCTGCTGTGCCTGTATCTGAAGCAGTGTCTAGTCAGTGTAGTCAGTGGTGGTGCAGTCAGGAGTCAGCAGAGCTCAGGTATGGCATCACTGACCAAAGGGAAGAGTCTTTCAGGATGAGCTGGATCACTCTTGACTCCATAACCTCAGTGTGGAGGCACACAGTGAGGTGGGGCTGGGTACCTCTGCTCCCTGTCCTGTAATAGGTAGAAAGAGTTTTGAAAGCCACACCACATCTCCGTCACTCGTGGCTCCATTGACTGCAGTGGAAAACTAAACCTCAGTGTGGAGGCACAGTGAGGTGGGGCTGGGTACCTCTGCTCCCTGTCCTGTAATAGGTAGAAAGAGTTTTGAAAGCCACACCACATCTCCGTTCTGACAGTAAAAGTTAGGAGCATGGATGCTTTCCAATTGCAAACTACTGCTCCTGGTTATTAATGCAATATATACAGCATATATAGACAATACCTGATTTTGGTCTTTGATTACTTAGATACATATGTAAGTTTGTACAATGAAGTGTGGCTCTTAAGATAGCTTTAGTGGCTTTTAGAGCGCAGAAATTCATATATGATTAGAAAATGTCTCTGCATGAAAGCTATATATTGTTGGGAGATATCCATGTTTATACATAGATGTCCTTACCAAAGCATTACCTTTTCCAAAATAATCATAACAGGTGAACTGGATTTCTTACTGATGGTTATTGATACTTTTAAAATATGTTGCAATAGAATATAAGCACAGGAGTTGTTCAGATGTTACCTTGAAATAACTGCAAAAGAAATTTGCTGTAATTGTCAATGTGGCAATAATGCAACAATAAAGCATGAAGTTGTATATTGGGCTCTTTTTTCTCTGTAAGTGCAATGTAAATCAGCAGGGTGCAGCTTTGTGGCATTTATGGGATTTTATTACAGATTGCTGCATGACTAATCAACATTTTATAGATAGTGAAATTTATTATGAAGTTTTATGACACAGTGGATGAGCTATTTTGAATAGTCCAGTCTCATGTAAAATAAAAAGTAGATGCTACCAGCTAGAATGGGAGTTGCTGTTTTCCTCTATGAAATTGGAGATGCTCGCTCAGCCCCTGTGAAGCTAGACAATCTAACCCTGGTAATAAACCAGGATGGTAAAGGAAACTAAATATAACATTTTCCATTGCTTTGCAAGTTCTAGTCTTTCAGAAACAGCAAGTATTGTAATCAGAAGAGGTGGCAAGCTGTTCATAAAGCTGCAGTTTACACAATGCAGGCCATAACACAAGTGATTTGCTGAAGAATATGGAGAAATTGCTGCAGTGTTTCTGAGCCCTTTCTAATACTTTGGGCATCCCGTGTTTAGTGCATGTGTAATGTGTGATGCAGCACATGTGTGTGATACAGTGCAGAGGAGATGGCCACTGCCCTGGGACTCTGTGCTTACATGATCACAGAAAGGGTTACGTTGGAAAAGATCCTTCAAGTCCAAGCATTAACTCAGCACTGCCAAATCCACCACTAAGCCATGTTCCTAAGAGCCACATCCGTACATCTTTTAAATACCTCTGGGGTGGTGACTTAACCACTTCCCTGGGCAGCCTGTTCTAAAGCTTGACAACTGTTTTGGTGAATAAAGTTTTCCTCGTACCCAATCTAAACCTCCCCTGGCAAAACTTGAGCCCATTTCCTCTTATGTTGTCACTTGTTACCTTGGAGAAGAGGCCAACCCCACCTTGCTACATCCTCCTTAGAGGTAGTTGTGATGAGCTATAGGGTCTCCTCTCAGCCTCCTTTTCGTGCTACATTATTCAAAAGATACCGTTCATTAACATTTTGGGAAAATACGTGGGCATGATGTTGGGCATGCTGTTGATTGCATTGTCCATTGTTACTCCAAATTTCATGGCTTTGCTATCAGCGGTACTGCAAATGTTGTTAGTAATTAGAAATTATTTACTTCTATGTCAACAATATGATCTACCCTTTTGTCACTGAATGCCTTGAAACAAAAGTCTTGTACTTCTTTCCAAAGTAGTGTGATCACTGTATGCTCCTGGCTGTTTAATGAAAATACTCCCAGCAGTTTTCCATACAAAGGTGAAGGGAACAAATGGACCTACGTTTGTATCCCTTTGGAATAACTTAACTCTGAATACTTGCCATCTTCATAGGGGAGGGAGGTGTGGGCTTCATAAGACACTTCTTGTGTCCACTTCAGATTTGGGTATATTAAGTTTAGAATTATATTTAAGTCAACAGGGGGATATGTTGCTGGTCAGAGGCTGCAATGATGTAAAGAATTGAGACAAATCTCTGTTTTAATTTACATTCTTTGCACACAAACCTCTCACAGATAAAGACATTTAAACATAGCAGGTTACAGCTAATGTTACCTGCTATATAAGGATGCAGAGGGATGCAGGTCTTAATGACTGGCTGGCTCAAGAAGAAACCGAGTCAAATCTGCAGCAGTAAATCATGGGGTTTCTTCAGCAGATGGGTATAATAAAACAGCATTGTAGCTGTAACCTTTGGTAAGTGCTGTGCATGATCCTATTATATGGAATTAGTAAAGGCAGTTTCTTAAGAAGGTGGAGGTTTGTATTTTGTTTGTCCCTGTGGTTTTGGGTCTCCTTCAAGAATATGCCTTTATTGATTTTCTTCATCCCCTATCAGAGAAAAGACTGCAGGTAGTGTATACTATTCCTTGAATCATGAAATGGAAGCACTAGCATTCAGATATGAGGCCTGAGAGGAGAGGTGGAGTGCATTGTATTTGACAAAGCACTCTGTGAACAAAGCAGTAATTTCTATTGCAATGACTGTTTTCCTTCCCTTCAGAATTCTGATCAGAGGTGAGAAAAAGAATATTATATTCCTTTCTGGGAATGTAGTTTATGACTGTTTGGAGCTCACAGGCATGCATGATTGCTGATGATTTTTTGCAAAACACAGAATGCTGTCAATGACAAAACTGAATTTAAGGATACTAAAGCCATGGCATGCATAGATCTTGCAAGTGACCTTGAAAGAAGGCCTGTAACATAATCTCTGCTGTCCAGCTTACATTGGATGTATTTTTAGAAAACGTGAGTGCCTGGCATTCTATAGGTCACTCGTAGCTTTAGGAAAAGAAAAGCATTAGTAATCCACAGTGATTTAAGGGTTATGAAAATTGGTTAGCTGCTAATGACACTGCAGCTCACATCAGTGTCAGCAAGGTACCATGGTGTTACCTTCAGTATAGTCTCACATTGTCCTGACTAAAGCTGGCTTAGCATAATGGTCTTTATTCTCCCTTCTGGCAGAGAATCAAGTGGCAGGTTATGCAGGTGTGTGAAATGGGCTCTTAGGAGCCATGTGTACTCGCTGCTCAGGTGTCAATCTGATACCAGGTCAAGGTGGATAGTGACATCACTTTGTTACACACCGAGGAGTGAGTGAACTGGAGAGCACAGCAATGTTTCCAAGTCACAGAATGCTCTGAGTTGGAAGGGACTCACAAGGATCCAGCGAGTCCAATTAAGTGAATGGCCCCTGGGGGATGGGACCCACAGCCCTGGTGTTAGCACCATGCTCTGGCCAACTGAGTTAATCTCAGGGTCACAACAGAGCCCAGTTGGCTTCTCTCTTAAGCCAGAAGTGCCTTTTAAAATATAGAACAGTGGAGTTAGTTAAAATGAAAAGCAAGAGTTAGCCACTTATTTCTGTATGCTGACAGCAGCTGAAATGACAAATATCTTCTCATGCTTCAGATGTGACTGAAACCACATTTTCAATGCCTTTTGGAGTAAACTTGCACCAAGTGTGTCAGTGTTTGAGTCTGAAGGAAGAGAGGCATCATCTTTTTCCTTGTTTTATTCTTACTTGTGAACCTAATGTATTTAACTGAAAACTTCACTTGGTATTTAAAAAAAAACAACTTTTTTCTAAGCCTTATTTCTCAGATGAGATGTGCACCTCATCTTAAGCTATATTTAATTTTTCATATGGTATCTCTGAGGAAGATAAAGTCATCTGGCTTTGTCTCTTGAAGACCACCAGACTGGGGCACATGCCAGTGGAATGTTGCACACTTAATTTTACTTTCTGGTGTATTTAAATCAACGGTGAACAGGAGCTGTGATTAGAGAAGTAAAGCCTTAAATATTAAAAGTAGAACAGTAAATGGATCAGCATAGAAGTGGATTCAGTTGTGCTCTGTAAAGCTGTTGTTAGAGGATGATAAGAGAAAAGAAGCAGAGCTGTCATATTGTTTCAGAACTGTACACTGGCCATTTCTTGTGCTGCTCAGTGACCTCAATTCCCCATGCCTAATTACATACTGAGAGGACAATTCTTTGATTCTTAAATCTACATGTCCTTGAATCTTTTTGCATGGAAGAGGCCTTTGGATGAGGGAAATCTGCAAATGCAAATACATATTAATAAATTCTGGTTCTTCTAACCTCCAAGGTTAAGCATAAAGAAATATATGTTATCTCTCTTCACTGCAAAAGGCAGCATGTATGTGGATATAGGATGTAGAACTAAGACATACTCAGTTGAACTGAGACCTAATTAATATTCATGTGTGTGTGTGTGTGTGTATGTCCCTACAATAAGAGAACAGTCAGTTTTAAAAACTAGGATGTAAGATTTCATTCATCCCAAAGGTATTAAACAATGGGAGATCAGATTCTTTGGAACATGCAGTTTGGGTGAACACCTTTAACATCCTTTTGGTGTGTAGCTAGTGTTACATCTGAGTTGCTAATAAAAAAGACCCGCATCAGAAGCTAATTCCTTCCCTCTGGACAAGAGATAATGGATAGCAAATGCAAGAATTCTCCTTTTAGGGCCTGATTTATTACCCAGAACATAATAAACATTAGCCTGCTGCTGATGTGACAGTTGTGACAGCTGGAGGGGTTTGGAATGAAAGGCTGAAGCCTTAAATAAGCCTGTCAACTGAGCTTGTTATGAGGATCTTGGTTAAGATTTTGCTTTTTGTGGCCCCAAAGAGCTCCTACAACATCCACACTGAAAACTTCACAGTGTTAGAGCTGTGCTTTGCATGCTGATGACTGGCTCACCACCAGCCAGTAGTGGCTAAGGTAAATATTTAAAGAAAGCACTGAGCTTGATCTGACTATTTATCATGACCCATAATATTCCTCTCCCCTAAATGCATGTTTAGTTTGTTTATACTCCTGGTTTTGTTCCTGGCTGTCGTGGTGTACTGTGTGTCACTCTCTGATGGCTGGTCCCTAACAACAGGAATGACTTTGTTAGTGGGTGCAGGATAAAAACGAATCATAAAAGGCAGAATCTGTACATTAAAAAGTATGGAAAATGTTACCAATGTCATCTAAGCAGATCTCCCCTGGGAGATTTAGGATTCCTACAAGTGTAGGTTCCTTCAAGACAGGTTATTTTCCTATTCCATCTTTTAGATGGAATAGGAGGCCACTCTTCTTTTAGAGGATTTCTACTTTGTGTTTATAGTCCCATTAACTTCAGTGATACTCTCCAAGGAATTAAGGTAAGTTCAGATTTATTTTGCAGGACTGGAGAATCAGACTAGGTATTTTACGTGAGGTGGAGACCTCCAAAGATCCCTCTTTTCAAACACTGTAACTAACACTTTTCTATCAACCTAAAAAGTGCTGGAGAAGACTTGTGGGCAGATCCTTTCCTTTTTGTGAGTTGTATTTGTGAAGTTCTGCAGGGGAATACTGGTGTTACAGGGCTGTGTCCCATCTTCAATTCTGCAGCTTGGTCACTGCTAAGCCACTTTTTAAACATTGATTTCTCGGCTTTTTCCTGATTCACAAATGTGTTGTGAAGCTCTGGCTTCAGGGCATGAAATAA